AAGGATACGGAGGAGTCAAAGCCAGCCTCTCCAGGCACAGCTCCAGGCACTTTGATGAAAAGACCGGCCAGTGCCAAGGCTGCTTCTTTGAAAAAATACAAGACTGCCAAGAGCCCTGGCAAGTCAAAACTGTCTCCTGCCAAGGCAAATGGCAAACCTGGCAAGTCAAAGTCTCCAAAACCGAAGAAGGTGATGAAAACTGTGGCAAAACCGAAAGCCTCTCCTGGCAAGAAAGGAGGGAGCCCAGCAAAGAAGTCTCCTGTGAAAAGGAAACCTAGCACAAGCTCTGGGCAGCAGCCCATGAAGAAACCTGCTTCCAGAAGTCACTTGAGACAAGTGACTCAGCAGTTGCAAGAAGGTGCAAAGGGCGAGCAAGAAGATGAGCTTGCACAGGTTGGGGAAGTAGAAGAGGAGCAGTCAGAAGCTGGCTCTGCAGATGAGGCTGAGACTCGAAACTTTGCCAAGGCCAGAAAGTTCAACAAGCTAAAGAAGTCAGGTGCTCTGCCTCAGATGGTGGTTCAGTTGCTGAGCAAGGTGGAAAAGGAGGATGGTTCGCGTCAGAAGGTGACTCAGCTGATCAATTCTTTGATCCAGAAGGACAAGAAGACTGGACACTTGTCTTTGAACACCGACAGCTCTGAGTTTGTGAGCCTCAAGTCCAAGTGGAAGCTTGTGGAGGACAGAGATGAAGTGGAAGGTGAGCCAAGGAATGTTTTCTTGCATCGAGTTTTTGGCGGAAACGAAACAGCACTGCAAGCGGCCATTGCAGCAGGTGATGTCAGAGAAACCATTCGAGGAACAACTTTCTGCTGCTACCCTCGCTTCAACTGGTCCACGACTAATGCTGTGGAAGACAAAGGGACCATTTCAGGGAAGACTGATTTGGATGCAGGCAACTACTTTCAGCTTGCCAGTGCTTTTGCTGAGATTGCCAAAGGTGCGAAAAGCCAAGCCCCAGACTCTGCAAGTGCCACAGCAGCTCCAGCTCCTGCACCCAGAAAGGCACTTCCTGAACCAGTTGACTTTGAGAAGCTGAAGCCTCTGCTCACTGCAGCCAAGGATGCGATCTCTTTTTTGGAAAAAGATATGCTGAGAGTGAAGCCGAGAGTGGTGGAGGCCAAGGACCCAGACTTGACCAAGAGCTTGAGGCAAGTTTTCGAAAGCTTGGCAAAGCAAAGGAATGATGTGGATGGTGTCCTTCACTTCCAGGAGTTTCCGGCTGACTTCGAAGGTTCCATGACCAGAGAAAATGTCAACAAGTGGCTGGCTGACTTAGGAAAGAGAACCGAAGGTTCTGAGGAAGGCTTGGCTTCTGTCAAGGCAGTTTTGGGAAAACGCAACTTGTGAGTGTCACCTCAGAGAAGGTCTGAGTTCACTGGGCCCATGTTCGACTCAGCTGCCACAAAAAAAAGGTACCATTTTTCCAAGACAGCTCATGTGAGGCCCAGTGTTTTTTCGCACGAAACTGGAGACTGTGTGCTAGCAAATCAACAAAGTCTCCTGCTTATGACATCGAGCCCTGCAGCCAGCAAATAAAAAAACAACTGTCAATGTTGGCAAGTTGCTTTAAGACTCACCTAGACAGAATCACATTCAAATCACATGAGATATCACTGGGACTACTAAGGATTCACTTTAGACTTTAGAACATCACATTAGAATAATTCTCTTCTGAGAAAAAACATCGCATTCACTTTGACAGATTCACTTTAGACAGATTCTCTTTAGACAGACTCACTTTGAGGAGATTCACTTTAGACAGATTCACTTTGAGGAGATTCACTTTAGACCGATTCACTTTAGACAGACTCACTTCTGGAAGAAGATCTCAGTGGAAGACTTGAGTCCTGAGAAAACAACTTCACATTCACATCAAAAGATTCACTTCTGGGAGAATATCACATTAGAAGCATTCACTTCTTAGAGCAAATCACTTTAGATTCACATCAAAGATTGACTGATGATTTTTTTTTATGAGATGGGCAGGTTCACTGTTGAACAGAGCCAATTCAGTTGGTATGTTTGTTTTCACCTTGGATTTTCCAGTGTTGTGCATGTGGACACTAAGACAGTTGCTCTGCTAAGAAGATCCCCTGGATCTATGATGATCCCTGGGCTCCAAGGACAAGAATTGCTGCATGGGTGGAACAGGTAAGAAGCACAAGACAAGTTAGCAGATACTGAAAGCAACTAGCCCTTCTCTGCCCATTGAAAGCAAAGACAAGAGGTCTGAGATAGCCTAAACATGTCCATGATCAACTGCACCCTGCATGCACATTGCAATGCGAAACTTTTCACCTGTTGAACCTGCCAATGGATGATGATGCTTGTACCTTTAGAAGAAAAAGAAAAGGAGGCCTGAGGCAAAGACTGGCTGCATCCGAGGCAGCTGAAAAAAAGAGAAAAGTCACTGTCAAAAGCGAATTGGTGGAGCATTTAGTGGAACAATGGAGCTTGGGACTGATAAGCCCACAAGAAGTGCAAAAACAATCTGAAAAATCTTGCAAAGATTTTCGCAATGCTGGTTGCCAAGCCCCTGAAGACTTGGCCAAAATGGCATCTTTGGGAGGAAGTGGAAATTCTCCTCAAAATATGAGCAGGGATCTGTTTCACTTTGCTGAACCGAGAACGATCATAGCTAAGAGCTTCATGTGTCACCTTCCTTTCAAAGATGGAAAGCGGCATGCCCAGGCACTTCTGCTTCCTCATGAGCATTTCAGCAATCTGTACCACAACTTCCCAAGGGTGTGGAGCAAGAGTATTCTTCCAGATGACAGTGACATCTCTTCCTTCTGGAAAGATGCTAAGTCACACCCCAGCATGAAGCAACACCCTTTACTGCGAGATCCTGATCGAAATTGGATGCAAAAATGTGTGCCACTGGGATTACATGGCGATGGTGTCCCCACATCTGGGGTAGGCAAGATCTGGTGTAAAATGATGACCAGCTGGTCATGGTGCAGCTTGGTGGGTGGTGGAACAGGTGCAGAACATCAGCATTACATATATTCAGTGCCCGACAACATGACTACACAGGAAACTTTCAATCAATTTTGGCAAATCATGCGATGGTCTTGCACAGCACTTTATAAGGGCAATTGGCCTGCCAGCGATCATGAGGGCAATCCTTGGCCAAAAGGATCAGTCAACTGGAAGAAAGCCAATGAACCACTGGCAGATGGGCTGAGAGGAATTTTATTCGCAGTGCAGGGCGACTTGGAATATCTCAGTTATTCCTTGCAATTGCCTCGATGGAGTCGCTTAGATAGACCTTGCACCATCTGCAAGGCTACTGGTGGGTCCCACGAACACACTTGGCTGGATTTCAGACCAGATGCTGCATGGACGAAACTTTTATGGGATCCTGTTGAATGGTCAAATTCAGAATCTGCAAGCAGATCACCTCTCTTCAAGACACCTGGCCTTTCCTGCCAATCGGTGTCATATGACTACTTGCACTGCAAGCAGCCCAATAGCATTTCATGTCTTTTTCATTTCCTTGCTTTGCTAAGAAGCATACTGTGTGGCCTGGCAATGCTCCAATGCGCTTCTCTTTACACAAGATACTCTTCTTGAAAGATTCACTTTAAAATATTCACCCTAGAAGATTTACTTTGGAAGATTCACTTCTTAATTGATAATCACTTTAGAAAGACACTACAGATTCACTTCCTTCAAAGGAATTCACTTGAGCAATCTAAGGTACTTGGGAACAAACCAAATCCAATTTGGTGCGACCCTGATGCTGCTGGTTTACGAAATAATGCCAGATGATGAAGCAAAGAATTTGACTGACCTCTTGGGCCTTCATCAAAGCAGTGCAGCACAGAGATGAGGAGCAACACAAGTTTCGCTATTTGAATAGACCTTCAATGTTCAAAAGAAAGAGCGGGGCTCATAAATTGAGGTCCAAAGGAGCTGAAAGCAAAGGCTTTACTAAAGCTCTGCTTGAGGCATGGCTGCACTTTGCACCTCAAGACACACAAGTGCACAAAAAAATTACACTTATGCTGAAGCTAAATTTGCAAATGGAGAACATTCTTCAAGCCTACCGAACAGAGATGCTCCTCCCGCAGAAAGAAGCAGAGCAGTTCAAACTAGCTACTTTTGGCATGTGCCAGCTGCAGCTTCAAATTCACGAACATTTCAAAGCAAGGGGCTCACAGAATCTATTCAATGTGACTCCCAAGTGTCACTTTCTTTGCCACATTGCCACCTTCTCCTCCACTATCTCACCAAGACGAGTGTGGTGCTTCTTAGGTGAAGACCAAATGAGAAGAGTGGCAACTGTGGCCAGGGCTTGCTCCAGAAGAGTGGCTTCAACTCAGGTAACCGTGAAAATGCTGAGGAGAATACGAATTTCTTTGCAACTTTTGTATGACAAAGTGTAGCAATGATGAGGATAGTGGCGCTGAAGGACAAAGAGCCTTTGCATGAGCCAAAACAATGAGCACTTGCCTCATGTTTGACAGTTGCTATTTGCAACTATGAAGAATCACTTTTGAAATTCACATTAGCCCCAGAAGACTCACTTTTGGTAGAAAAAAACACTTGGGCACGACAAGATTCACTTTAGCAAGAAAAGATTCACTTTAACACAGAAAGCATGACTTAGCACAAGAAGATTCACTTTAGCAAGAAGAGCTTCACTTTAGCACAAAGAGATGTATATAATTTAGCAAACCAGACTCACTTCAAACCACACATGTCAAAAAAAACTCAATATATCAGTTTCAAAACTATGAAATCACAATTGAAAATACAGATGCAAACAAACAATACCTTGTTCCAACTTTCCACAATCCTTGGTAAAAAAAGGGTTCTGTCTGACATTTGAAGTGTTGAAAAGAAGTTTTTTTTGGCAAAAAAACATCATAGAAAAAAATACATTTTTAGGTTATTTCACTAAATAGCCTATTTAGGCAAACAGACAAACAACCTAAAAGACAGAACATGAAATAACCTAATAGATAGAATTTAACCTTAAAAACTAAAATAACCTAATAGGCAGGAATTAGCCTAACCAGAGCTTTTGGGTTTGCATTACGGGCAACTTGCATCACCAGTCGGTCTTCAAAATGCCAACCGGGAGTTTCACCAAGCCTATGCAAATAGGGAAAAATCGCATGACTCTCACTCAGCAGCTGCCCAGGAAGCTCCGCCGTAGAGCTCGTCAAAGTCAAAGGTTTCGTCTTGCCACCCTTTGAGGATTGCTTGATGAACTTGGTGGTGTACTTGGGGCACCATTCGCCTGAAGTCAAGATCTCACGCATGTGCTCCAAGTCCATTTCCTTGGTTCCTCCATCGACGAACATATTCTCTGTCGATGTCCAACGCAAGCTGGTGTTGGGACGTCGCAACATCGTCCTTATCCATGCCACTGTGAATGCCAGGGATTTCTGAGAACCATAGCTTGGAGTGTCTGACAGGCATTTGTCAAACACGTCTTTCGCATCGACCACCACTGTCAAAGGAATAGCATCCAAGATGGTGTCCACATGACGCATCTCCAGAGGATAGCCGCTAATTGAAGCCAACAAACCTCTGCAATATTGCCCAACGTCAAACGCTTCTTCTGTTCCAAGAAGTTCAGCTGCAAACGTTGAGCGACAAACCCTTTGCAAACGATGGCTCCTAGCATCCAACAAGCAGCATCTGCCAGTCTCGCCTTTCATCAGCTTCTCTTCCGCAAGGAGCACCACATAGGAGGCCTGGCTGTAGACCTTAGTTGGAACATCGCCAGTTGTGCCACTGTCTTTAGTGACGTTTCCCAAGGACGCATCTGAGACTACCATGATGCCACAATTCTTCAAGGACATAGGATAGAATCGTAGACCAAAACTTGCAGTTGACTTGAAATTCTTCACCAGAATGTTAGCCCTCAGCAAGGTTCCAATCGTGGGTTTCTCTCCTTGCAGTGTTGACAATGCGAAGCCTTGATCAACTCGCACTTGAGCCACAAGCCACTGAAGAGATCCAAGAATCGCTCTCAGTTGCCTTCGTTCACCATCAGTCAGCTCGGCATCGGGCTGTCGCTTTCGGTGAGGAAGAATGGAAACAGGTTGAAGATTTGCATGATACTCAGGCATTGTCACATGAACCACTCCATGCTCGTCTTGGCTCACCTTTTTGCCACAATAGACAAAGGAGTCTCGTTCCACCGTACCGAATCCAAGCTGGGCCTCAAGGCTCATGATGCTGTCAAGCGCTTCCTTACATCCACCACATAGCAAATCATCCACATGAGACAGCACAACGCCCAAGAGAATGCGTTCTCCAGAGTCACTTTTGCCCCACAGAAACCAACATGCTGCATCCATCGTACTGCGGATCCATCCCAACTCGGTCAGAGCACGGTGAAGGCGCAAGTACCATTGTCTCGGTGCATCACTGAGGCCAAACACCCCTTTCTTCACCTTTGCTAAGCCGATTGCAGAGAAAGGCAACATCGGTTCACCATGACGGCTCTTGACATTCTCAACGAACAACTCCCTAGTACCTGCAAGGTATGGGTCGCCCTTCATGAAGGCAGACTTCACATCCACCGACAAAAGCCGCCAACCTCTAGCACTATGGTAGGATGCCGTCAATGTAAAGACCAGATGCTGACTGGTTCTTGAAGCTGTGGGTGCATCTTTTCGCATGCCATAGGACATCACATCCTTAAAGCCAGGAACCACAAGCCGCGCATTGGCCTTCAGCTCCAGGTTATTCTGCGGAGTCCTCAGTCCATCATGTTTGTCGGTGAAAACCCACCGAGGCGTCAAAATCTTGCACTCCTCTTTCTTCTTCTTCAAATCAGAGCGCACACGAGCTGCTTCTTCATCTGGCAGCACCTCGACGGCGTCGTTGGCAACCCAAACATTCCAACCAGCATCAGCTGCTTTGCGATATGCCTCCTTCTGGTCTTCATTCATGTTTGACCAGAAATATTCTTTTCGTGCGGTCTGCACTGCCATCGCTTCATTGAAGTCATCTTGTCCACAAGGCCAATCGCATCCAAGCTTCTGTCTGGCGGACCACTCTGTCTGAGAAGGCAGCTGCCAATCACCACGCCAAGTGCCGTGATCGCGAACCACTGAGTCCAGGGGTTGCAACCGATCGCCACAAGCTTCAGCATGTAGGCGCACCAAGGGATGAACCTGAGCAGCATCTTCTTCTAAGACTGAAAAGATTTCCTCCTTGGACATCATCAATGCATCATGCACTCCATCTGAAACACCCGCTTGCAAGGCCGAAGGATCTGGAAGTTCTGCCTCAGGTTGCTGAACATCAAGGCGCAATTGCTCTGGGGCAACTTCCGATGCTCGTTTCCCACTCATCTCTCTGACTCTCTCAATTGCCGTACTCATTCGTTGAGACATAGCGCTCGACGACGGCAAGGGATTCGTCAGAGGTGTAGCAGGTGCTGAAAATTCTGCTGACTGCCTACGAGAAAAACTACCCGCAGGAAACTCTGATGACTGCCTTCTGGACAAACTGCCCACTTGAGAAGGTATCGCACCCTGCTCAAAACTTGCTTGCACAGCGCCAACAACTTCTTGGGGTTGTACTGGCGGCAAATCACTCAAAGCTTGTTCCTGTGCTACAGCTGCAGGCAATGTGGCTCCACCAGACGGGGCGCCGAGCATAGGTGTTGCAGGAGCAGGAGTGGAAGGTGCAGGAGTCGCTGGGATCCCATCTGTAGGATCAGCACGACCATCTGACGGAAGTCCACTCAGAGTCATGTCGTGCACAGCTTGACATACTGCATCTTCAATTGCATCCCTCCACGTATCCGTGGTGATTTGTTCCATGGGTGATGCTCTTCTGATGTGTTCCAAGCTGCATTTTGTCAACTGACCCTTAAAGGAAAGATATCCATTCGCACCATCACCACCATCAGAACTCTTTTCCACAGCAACCAAAAGTGCAGGGCCATGCCAACGCCGCAGGGACAGTCTCTTCCTGCTACCACTCAGCTTGTTGTTGTATTTCTGGAAGCGGAAGAAATAGACAATGTCACCTGGGGCGGGCACGTCTGCAATGGTGCTGCTGCGGTTACGGGCCAACTCTGCTCGTCTCAATCCCCTGCTGAAGTGCAGCCTGGTCATGGCGACCTTGGCTGTTTCACGCAAGGCCAATTGCCTGGCGAAAAGATTGTCTTTGGTCACCAGATCATGTTCAGCCAAACGTCCTTGTATGTCAGTCAGGACGTCACCCGGCAGTCTAGGCGCCTTACCAAGAGCAGCCTGAGCAGGTGAGACGCCACTATCATTGGTGTCATTGTTGTAGGCTGAAAGCGCCTCACCAAGGGCCAGGCTCATTTCTTCCTTGCCTATGACAGAGTTGGCAGAAACTGTCGCAGCAAGCAGAGCCTTCAAAATCCCACCGGATCTTTCTGCTATCCCGTTTTGCCACGGCGCACCAACTCCGGTGTGCCATAACAGCACTGATTGCTCAGAGCAAAAATCTTGGAACTGGTGGCTGACGAATTCTCGGCCTTGGTCACAAACAAGAACTCGCATGGAAAAACTTGATCACATCGTCAGCAGCCTTTCTGTCCAAAATCTGTGCCATTTGGAAACGTGTGCAGAAATCAGTGACATGAATGATGACATACTTGTTGTCTTGACTATCCACGGCTTCCAGCAAATCACAATGAACTTGATCAGAAACGTCTCTGGGATGAGGCAAAGAAGCAGGCCGTTGGGGCTTAGGTGGAACCTTCTCCAAACAAATGCTACATTTGTGTTCCTTTGCAGCACGCACCACAATGGCCGGTGCTCCCGCTAGGGTCAAGGCCCTTGCCAGTCGACGATTGCTCCTGTGGCCTGTGTTCTCGTGAAGCCTAGCCACAGTGGCCTTCACTGAAGCAGGAATCTTTTCGTCGACCGACTGCTCAATGCCCTCTTCAATCTCAGAGTCACTGTCAAAGTGAGGAAGGGCGGACACTGCAAAATCGTCCTCACCTTCATCATGACCAACTGCCAGCACTTCAGAGCCCTTCAAAGACCCCTTGTTGAATTCCTCCTCCATACCCTTCACCAAGCATTTGGCTAACTGAACGGGGTAGTGCCCAGCGCGTGCTGTCACTGCCACACCGCCAATCACAGGGTCATGAAGATGAGTGCGCGTGCACTTCTGGTCTTCAAACTTGGATGCCACTGAAAAACTTGAAGAAACTAGCCGTGTTGGCTTCCGATGAAGATTCCCTTGACGGCTACGAAGTCCAAGCCGACATTGATCAAAGTCCACAATTGCTGGAGCCCGCGATGCCAAAAACTTCAGCATCCGCGGCCCTTTCCAAGCACCACTCGGCTTGGGATTCTCAAGCACATAGTGTCTGCCACCATCAAGCTGGATCTGCGCGAGCTCGAGTGCAAAGTCCATGAGTACACGGCCCTGATCCTGAAGCTCTCGAAGACGAGGCGAAGGATTGAGTCGTTGGAGTGGGCTGAAAGGCCCGCAAGGAAAAGCCAACATCAGAAAAAGGGGCTTTTCAGAGCGTACAACACGCTTGGCTTCCTCACGATCTGCTTTGTTGAGAAAATTCCAGCCCGTCTCCAAACTCATGGGGGTGCCCACTCGGTGACCACGTCTTGCAGCTTCTTTCATAACTCTTTGAGTGTTGGTGTAAACCTCAGAAACCAACGGAGTTGCCATGGACCTCTGCTCTGTTTTCCCCTGAATGCCGCGCAAACGTGACAAAGGAGACTTCAAGAGCGAGGATCCCTTCAAAGTCCTAGTCATTGGTTGTGATGTGCTCATACTGGAAAAACTGGAACCGCTCAGAGACCTGGACTTACTCAGTGATGTGGAGAGGTCAATCGCATGAACAAAGGGCTCATCATTGATATAGCCACGCATCTCTTCTTCAAACTCAGTCAACATCACCTGCCTGATCTCTTGCCGACCTTGAGACACCCTCTTGCAATCAGCCATATGTCGATTCCAGGCATCTGCAATCAGTTTGGCTTGACCTCTCTTGAGATCCTGTTGAAGTTCCCAAGGACCAGCATCGTTCACGGATCCAACACCACTGTCCTCTCCTCCGCGGTCAGGTCTACGGGGCCATATTGGGCCTCCAGCCGTTGCTGCCATTCTCCTTCCATGAGATCTTGGTAGCCCTCCGCATTGATCCGATCCCAATCCGCCTGTGACGGCACCATGCCATCGTCGCACTGATCTGCCATCATCACATCGCTGGCCGCCATGTCGAATTGATTCGTCACGGCTCCTTGACTTTGGATTCCATGCCCTTGATGAAGCTGAGTCAATGCCATTGCGACTTGATTCATCATCTCTTGAAACTGCTTTTGCTGAACTTGAATTTGGGATTGGACCTCCAGCGGAAGAGAAGACGCTGAAGACCTCGTGACACTTGGCGCCTTTGCCAACTGAGCCGGAGGAGCCTTGAAACGAGGCTCGGCCGGTGCTTGTGCCTTTGATTTTGGCTGGTTCTTCAAAAGCTCCACACTGGGCCGAACTGCCTCTTTGATCTCTGGGACGGTCATCTTGTCCGTCACATTCACCTTCAGCAAGGCTGCCAATCTCACTAAGTCTTGACGCAAAGTTGGAAGTCCACCTCGAGGACCTATCAAGGACCTTGCTTCGTCCTCTGCCTTGCCCTTTTGAAACGCCACCACTGCCTTTTGCTGGGCCTCCTTGATGACATCCCGCTTGATCTGAAGCCAGACCAGCAACTGCCTTCCCAGCCAACATTCCGGAAAGCAGCGGGTCTTCCAAGAAGGCCAGTTTCAGGCCCATGCGGTTTCGCAGCGTCACGGCATTCTGCAAGTTCAGGAGATTGATCCCACCTGCCTTTTGCACCTTCAGAAAAGCCGACCTTGGCAAACTTTTGGCTTCCATCATCTCCAAGGCCTGAATCTCCCACAGGTGTGTGTTTGCTACTGAAGGGTACGGACAAGGGAGATGCCGAAGTTCGGGATGCCGCACAAGCCAAAGCAAAAGTCCAGAAAAGTGCCATCGGGATCTTTCGGCGAGGCGCAGAACGAATCTTCGCCACTTTTGCATGAACCCCACATTTGCCGGCATTTCCATGAGTCACAGTCAAGCACTCACGCTCAGAGCGCCGTGCCAAAGAGCTCGGTCGGGAGGACGCAGGAGATGAAGATGTCGGAAAAACTGAATTGGCACGACGAGTCATGCGGAGATCTTGAACCAAGGTTGGCACGTTATCCGCTTCATCTTCATCCACAAAATCATGAACTACCAAACTTGCCTTCAAACTGCGTTCTGTGAGAAAATGCTCATGAGAACCCTTTTGACTTTCAATGTCTGTCTGACTACCCAACTTTCTACGCAGCCACTCCTTTGTTGACATCTGAAGCTCAACCACACCATCAATGCCAAGTTTCCTCCAACGCTGAGTGCCCACACCTCTCCAAGATGGCGGGAGCAGCGGCAGCAGGTAATGGCCTGCAGCGAGTTGCTTCAGAGGAATGGTTGTCGAATCAATGTAGTCAAACTTGATGACCCTTTTCGAAAAGCTCATGGTAGCACCCAAAGTTTCCAAAAATCTCTTCCAAGAAGAAGACCAAGACTGGGGACAGGGACAATGGAGACATTGAAGCATACCAAATTGTTACCAATCATCATAGGAAGACGCCAACGCTCTCGGCTGACTTGAGTTCCACCATCACCAAACCTAAAGGTCTCATTCTCTGGGGTGCATTGAACCAACGCTTGAACATCACTAGGAGCTGTTTGAAGAGCTTGAATGAACGTGTTCAGCCATTGTGGACCTGTCACGGTCCGGTTGCCGGCTGAGTCCAACGCTCCAACCAAACGCTTGTCCTGAGCCAGGCCGACATGAACAGCATTGACTTCTCTGCCAGGGGGAACATGGTCAAGTGCTTCACCAATAGACATGTTGGGGTACGCCTTGCTCACTGTCAAAACCTCATTGACCTCTTGGGGTTCCTGAAGTCCAACATCTACCACATGCTCGGTGTTGAGGGACTCCACAACCTTGACAGACTTTGGCTTGCGAGCACTTTTTCGACCCAAGCCAGCACCTGGGTTCGGGCAAGACGCATCGCCCGCCCAATGACCGGGCTTTCCACAGTCAAAGCAGGGATACTTTCCCGAGGACTTCTTGGCATCGACCTTTGACTTGGCCGATGATGCTGCAGAGCCAGATGGAGGCACTTTGCCATAGCCTCTATCCTTCTTGACTTCAGCCAGTTGATGCCTCGCTTCTCGCATTGTCACCAAGGCTTCTGCCGCAGACTCTACAGAATCCTCAAGGCTTTGGATGAAGTCTGCATCAACTCCATCTTCCAACGCCTCCTCAAGTTCTGTGGCCAAGATCTCTGCCTCGGCCTGCAACACCTCCTCCAAATTTCCACCGCCCTCAGGCTCAGCCGTCGGCTCCTCTTCATCTTCAGGAGCTTCGTCCTCTTCAGTCTCGGTGACATTTGCCTGACGCATGGAAGAAGGAAAAGGCCTACGATATGTAGAGTTTCTCGAGGCAAAAGTGGATGAAGTCTTACCAGAACCACCAGAAGACATGGATGCCGCTGCAGATGAAGGAGGATACGAACTCCTGGAAGGAAAACCACGCTGCTGAGCCAAGAAACGATTGAGCACTGGATTCCTTGGAGCTTCAGTCACACGCCTTGACAAAGGATCAGAAACATGCAAGTCCCTGAAAAGTCTCAGCACTTCCACCTCGGTTTCTTCGTATGTTTCCTTCCCCTGCAACGCCGTCTCCAAAAGTTGCTGGCGAATGGCATCTAAACCCAACTTTTGTTTCAGGAACCATCCCAATTCCCCAGACGGAAGTGTCACTCCTTCCATTCGCAGGTCAGCCACTGCAGAACGAAATCTGGTGCAAAACTCTGAAATTCTCTCTCCTGGTTTCCTCTTCATTTCCAAATAAAAGGAATTCCGCAAATCACCTCGCTTGTCCAACACAGTCTTTCCATTGATTGACTCCAAGGCACTCATGAGCTTGCGAATGCCATGGAGGGGATCAGCAGGAGTCAGAACCACATCCTCACCTGTCTCAGGATCGCGACCAGTCACTTCAGGTTGATGGGCAAGCTCACTGGGACTAAACTCTTCCCCACGTTGCCTTACTATTCCTGTTTGTCTCAACAACCAACGTGCTGCTAGATTGTATTTGGTGGTACTAGCAACATCCAAGGATTCCAACCACCAGTCCATTTCCCTCTTGAATGCTCTCCAAGATTTCGGGTCGCCATCCCACGTCGGGACACGACTCCAAGCTCCACTGCCCTTCTCATCGTCCATCATTGAAACACTGCAAAAACTGCAAAAACTGCAAAACTGATGGGCCCTCCTTCAAGGAGTAAAAGTCCACCAAGGTGAAAACGTAGAGGATAAACTCAAATGAATTCGAATCTGATTCACCCTGTCCTTAATCGAGCCCAGGGAACCCGCAAGGATCCACCGCCAAGATTTCAAGAGCCGGGATGGGGTCAGTCACGCAAGATCGAAGAAAAGGGGAGCCAGGAGCAGGTAGCAAGCAAGAAGTAGCGCAGCCCTGGAAAGTAGGCTCCGGTGCCACTAATGACACTCAGCCGCACAGCAAAGCGTCTATTGCAGCCTTTTGCCGGACCACAAAACGTATGCCAATGTTGGGTCAAGTACTGAAAATGGCAACGGAGGCATCAGGATGAATCAGTAATGTTTCCCATGTCAATGCCATGCTTCAACAACCGTAAATGGATATGAATCCTATCTCTCCTATTTCCCACCAAGGGGCCCGCAAAATGACGAGGGCCAGTACATTTCACCATAGGTTTGAGTTCATATCCATGGGGAAGGGCTATGGCCCATCTGGGCTATGGCCCATCAATAAGCCATACCAGAATTTCCGCAGATCACAGTGTATTCCATTCATCTAACTAATGACCCATCAATTGCTGGGGAATATCCCATGTATACACTCAATACGCGGTAAGTTATTATACATACAATATATCGGTTCATATTTATACTGGTCAGTGTCTATCTAACTAATAACTCATCATTATATTCTATTTATTTATCTATTGGCCTATTGATTTATCTATCTATTTATTTACATGTCTTTATTTATTCTATCGTTTTATATACTGGTTGGTGGTTTCAATCCCTCTGAAAAAATATTAGTCGGTTGGGATGAGTATTCCCAATCTATGGAAAAATAAAACATGTTCCAAACCACCAACCAGTATATATTTACATATGGCTATGAATCAATACCTATTAATACCATTTTTAGGGGGTTGTTCACATCCATAAATCCCAGCTATTTTGATGTGAACTACAGAGGTACAAGGTTTTGACACACTGCCATATAATTACATATACATAAACAGTACTCACCTGAGTTCCTTGCCGTATGCTTTTGACCCATCTCCAGTTGTGCGAAACTGCGCAGTGGCCGTGGCCTCCACGGTGTGCGGGTCCACGATGCGCGCGTAGCCCTCGAAGTGCTGGACACCAGCACCATCCTGATGGAAGATGGTGGGATTCTCCCTGTTTTATCATGTTTTATCCCTATAAATAGTGGATAATAGTGGTATTAAAATCATGTTTTATCCCTATAAATAGTATAAATAGTGGATAATTATCCCTATAAATAGTGGATAATAGTGGTATTAAATATGTTTGAATCATTTTGAATCCCCATTCTGGGATTCCTCAAAATTTCTCAAGCATCAGGGGAGGGTGGCCAAAGAACTGCATTATTGTATTTCTATGCTGTGCATTATCTAAGTTGCTTCTAAAACCCTGGACGTGGTAAACAAACAAATTCAACAGCCCATGGGCCCGGAATCATCTTCCCAGTTACCCTCCGGTGTAATCGAAGGCGGCTAGCTGGGAAATACGTTGTAAACAAAGGTGTTTAGCTCGGAAATCAGCTGTAAATGATTCTGAATGGAGATTTTCCGTGTTTGATTACCGGAGGGTAACCTTAAAAAGTGAAACCACCAAATACTCAGTATGACCAGTATTGCAAATTGTAACATATTATAACTATTTATAACTAGCATTCTTCGGGAATATTGGGATAACTATATCTACATACGCCAGGGATGTGATAAACACATTGACGAAGCTTGGGACATGCAATCAGCAATTTCAAGCTTCAAATGCTCGGATTTTGACATATTGGTTCCGGTCATCTTCTTGAATGCTCCACGAAAACACTGAGACTCGAACCAGCAGTTTTTTGTAGATCCCATTGAGGCCTGGACAGGCAAAACGGAACGCATGAGAAGTCCATGGGGCGAAAATTGCCGTAGGGGTGGCAAGTGAATGAAAACTACTCAACTACTATCCAGTGGTTAGGTTAGGGGGGAGCTAATGGGCTAAGTAACCATGGTTATCCATATTCCCTATGAAATGGGAAGCTACAGAGCTACTATATAAGAGTTTCACAACGACATTACGCCAAATCCCAACTGAGTCTCCACACGTGTGACCTGCGGGCCGTTTTTTTTCCTCTCTCTCTCTCTCTCTCTCTCTCTCTTTGGTGCACAAGGTCTCTTTAGCGATTGGGCCGGCTAAAGGGAAATCTACTATCCAATGATTTCGACTAGATAAAACTCACACCTTCGTGTTTTGGTTGATGCGTGTCTTCAGTTTTTATTTGCACGCGGCATGCTTCATAGTCTACTGCCAAGAAATTTCACACCTCAAGTACTGATCCAGTAGTGAGCGAGCTTGAGGTTAAAATAATCATCCGTGGTTTGCCGCTCAGCACCTCCGCGTTTTTCGCTTCGATCAGCTTGTCCCAATCCAGGCTGGGGGAAACTCCTGGCGCAGGAGGAAACATATGCGATTCGGTTCTCTCCCTTGATCTATACAGACTATATACCTGTATTGTTGGCTGGCTATCTACTAGGCAAACCTTGGTGATGATTGGACAGTACGACTCCAGGTGACAGAATAGATTGGTCATGATTGGTCACTGATTTTAAGCAACAATGGGCTTAGAAAGATTGTATTCTTTTTGTTTGAGGTACTCGTATAGGGTAGATTATAGAGTTTGGACTGCACATTTAAAAAATTGAATTGGAGTAGATCGGTAGCAAGCTCTTAGCCATGCCATTGTTCAACCCCAGACCTAGGATCTAATTCTTTAGTTCCTAAAATTTGTTGACATGTCCCAAAAAGGTGAGATATCGATATCACTTTCGGACATGTTCGAATTCCCTATTAATTTCTGGCTATATACATTGAAACACGAATCAACTTTAAAAACCGCGGCGGTGCCAGCTTCAGCTACCCAGCTCCGTCTGGCAAGGACCATCCGTAGCCGGCGCCATCTTTGATGTCCTGCAGGGCAGCGTTTTGGGATCGAAGAGTCTCTGGTAACATGGCCGGCTGCGGATCGAATGGCCGGGGTTTGGCTTCTTGATGCTTCTTGCAGGTCATGACTTGGTCAATCGGATACGCTCCAGCTTTTACATCTCATATCATCTCATACTGTGGATGGTTGCGAAATCCTGCACCACCAAAAGGATGGTTGAAAGCCTAGTAATAATGGGATAAGCATGGATAAACCATATATCAACTGGTGCAGGATTTCGCAACCATCCACAGTAGTACCCAGGTTTTGGATCCACTGCTTGGGAGGGCCGTCCTCAAGAAGGTGGCTGCCATAGATGAGCAACCTGTCGGCACTTTCCAGGATTTGACTGATCAAAACCAACGGGCAACGGGCAAAATGGCAAGTGATACACACCCTAGTCATCCCTCAAATGATCCATTGGTTCATTGGTTCTAAAGGGATGCCAACCTCGGAAAGCATAGCATGCCAGACAATTCTTACTGAGTTCAACACTGGAAATATATAAATATAGCTATAGGCTATAATATGCTTTAAGAGTGGGGGCTAAATTCCAGCCTAAAAAACCATGGTAACGCACAGAAATCACCCCGCAGGCCCTGAAGTGCTTTGGGTGTCCAAACTTCTTCGGCACACAGCCGCGAATGACGCACGTACCTTGGTTCCAGTGGCGAGGTCGCCTGGGTTTGGTACCTGAAAAGATGGAAATTCCCAAATTCCACTGGAAAAATGATCCATTTAAAGAAGGTATCTATAAAAACCGCAAATTCTTGAGTTCTTCAAGTAGCTGGGAAGCCAGGCATCAGTCCGAGGCAAATGGCGGATATATGCGGATATGAAGCCGTTCTGATGATTTGGGTCCGGGGACATCCACGGTTCACATTGGTGCGAAATCTGGACTCTAAAGTATAAATAGGTTTGGGTATAGATCCTCAGTAAATTCCTGTTTCAATCATTATTTCTCACTCTAAATCCCATGAATTTCCCAGGTTTTGAATGAAATCACCGCGGCTTCCCCACATTCCCCCACATCCACCGAAGTCGGCTCCCCCACCACCCAGTCCGCCAGCCGTTAGCTTGGTGCTCACAATGGCGAAGGGCAGCTCAGCCACCGCCACCTCAGACCAACGCAACAAATGGTTCAGATTTTTCTCCATCCCAATAGTAGAGATAACCAAAAACAGATGTTGTGGGGGAATGATGGTGCAAAAGTTCATTATCAGTTTCTAGTTAATTATATATTAAAATAAATGTTGATGTTATATTAATATATAGTGGGGGAATGATGCTGAAACAGTTCATTATTAGTTTCTAGTTATCAGTGTCATATAATAATAACATAATAGATGGGGAAACTAATAATGTTAAACCATATCTATCTAATCTATCTAGTTATTATATGTTATTTATGGGTCGTTTCCCCATTGGTTTAGCACCAGGGGGATCCGCCCGCCTTGGCGCCATACTGCTGCGCTGCCCATCGCGAGCCTCGCACGCCACCGCTGCCACCACCAATGGTGAAGAGATCGAAGTCGTACCTCGCTGTTTTCAGCGCAGCACCATAGGCGGATTTCTATGGATTTCTTGGGAAAATCAGAGTTTTAAGCTGGTTTTCATTGGGTTTTCATGAGGAAAAAGTGGGAGTTTAAAAAAGAAAGATGGGGATGTAACTTTTAACCAGGAATAACCTGGATACATGGATTGGCGCAAGGAAAAAGAGTTGGTTTATCAGAAGGAGTATTACTGGTTCTTTCAACTTTCATAACTTTCAACTTCGCCAGACTGATTGTGATTTCAAAAGCAAACGTCGGGATAGAAGGCACTTGAAGGCACTAACAAGATTCTTGGCTTAAGATGCGGGTAGGTTAGGGTAGGGTCTTGCAAATCCTCTGGGCACCTTCAACTGCGAATGACCAGCTCTTGGGCTATTGGGTGATCGGTACTTTCA